AGACTGTCTGCTCTCAAGTTTTGTTAGCTCTTTATATACTTTGAATATTAACCCCTTATCTGGTATATGATTTGCAAAAATTTTCTATTCTGAAAGAATTCTTTTGAATATTAAATCTCTAGTTATACATTTAAAAAAAAGCCTATCATCACAGTGTTTATTACAACCAACTGATCTCTTAACATATCACCTCTAAGCAGAGGCAAAAACAAAGTAGAAATAACTTGCACTGTATTGTTCAAAGGAGATGATCCAATTGAAGTTATTCACCCAGAAAGAGCATTTGATAGGCTTTTTAAAAAGTGTTTATCAAGTCATGCCACTCCCTTGTTAAAAAAAACTTTTTTTTTTTAAACGTTTGTTTATTTTTCAGAGAGAGACAGAGTGCAAGCAGGGGAGGGGCAGAGAGAGAGAGGCGGACACAGAATCTGAGGCAGGCTTCAGGCTCTGAGCTGTCAGCATAGAGCCCAACTGGGGGCTCCAACCCACAAAACGTGAGATCATGACCTGAGCCAAAGTCAGACGCTTAACTGACTGAGCGACTCAGGCACCCCTAAAAGAGCTTCTAACTCATCAACATGGCTTAGGAGTTCCTCTGCAAACTCTCTTAAAATTTCTTTGCCTTTATTCTGGCTACTCTTCTTGCATCTTGCCATCAGCTAGCTACCTTAAGATTTCAAACAGGCCCTGCTTCTTCCTATCTCAGTTTTGGTAAATGTTGTGTCTTCTAATGGAAACATGTTTCCCTGTCTGCCCAACTCCTACTTTTCCTTCAGGTTCTGTTTTACACGATTACCTGATATGAAGTATAAGTTCACCCATCTCAACACCTAGTTTTTCTTGTTTGAAGCACTCAGCATTTTTAAACGATATATTTACATTAATCTAATTATAGTCTGTTTCTCTCACCAAAAACTCCAAAAAATGAAGGGCCACGTTTTGTTACCACCCCTTCACTAGACACAGAACTTATTTCAGTGCTTAGTAGAGTAGCAATAAAAATATGTTGAATAAATAAAGTGAATAGAAACATTCTGATGAGATAATTAGTAAAATTATGAAAACATGTTTATGAAAGAGGTCTGAAAAATGGAGAGGAATTAAAAAATAAAAGAGTTTGGAAACATTATTTATCAGGAAAAAATAATGAAGTAGTCTGCGAAGGGTAAAGGGAGTTTTACTAAATTTCTCTAAAGATGTAAAAAATATTATAGTACATTTTGATGACATGTTTTCTTCCCACTAAAAGTAGGAGAAAAAATAAGTTTAAGTTAGAAGTTAAGAAACAATATCTTGCTATTTTTTTTTTTTTAATTTTTTTTTTTCAACGTTTATTTATTTTTGGGACAGAGAGAGACAGAGCATGAACGGGGGAGGGGCAGAGAGAGAGGGAGACACAGAATCGGAAACAGGCTCCAGGCTCTGAGCCATCAGCCCAGAGCCTGACGCGGGGCTCGAACTCACGGACCGCGAGATCGTGACCTGGCTGAAGTCGGACGCTTAACCGACTGCGCCACCCAGGCGCCCCTCTTGCTATTTTTATAAATAAAGTTTTACTGAAACATCACCATGTCCATTTATGTTCTGTGTATGGCTGCTCTTTGTACAACTGCAGAGCTCAGGAGCTGGGATAGACTACGAGCCTGTAGAGCCAACAATGCTTACTATGTGATATCATACACAAAAAAAGTTTGCCAACCCCTGGTTTAAGCCAATATACTAGAAATTTCAATAAGCATAAAAAAATAATTTCAGATCACCTGATATTAAAATATAGAAAGGGATATAAGAAAACTCTTTCTGTTCAAAGCGTTTAGAAATAAAAGAGAAGGACATCAATGTGGGTTAACGGACATGAGATCTGAAGGAAAGAAGAAAGGATTTTACTTATCTACTGAAATATCTTCTACCTTAATCTTCTACAGAACAAAAACGAACAACAGTTTTACTAAACTGAAATTAATAGATTTGAATCTGAGTAGCATCATAATATGATTTGTATTTTTGCACTAAGAAAAACAAAAATGTACAGTTGGCCATGAGAAAGATGGACCATTATCTTCAATTAAATGTTATGTAACAAACTATAACATCTTTACTAGTGACTTAGGAAAAGCAAAAAGCACCTGATGAAAAATGCAAAGAAATTTTAAAAAAGGGAGTATCCAGAGATAAAGAAATCGTTCTTCATCAAAATACTGATATACTGACAAAAAGGACATTATTAAAACACCTGGTCCACTTGTAGGGATAAAAGTTATTATGCTATTAAAGTCCATAATAAACACTTTAGTTTTGTATATTAACTATAGAAAAGCTACTTACTGTTCTCTTAAACTATTCACTTGATTTCTGTCTCTTGACAATAGTAACAAATCAAGTCATACTAACAACAAAAATTTAGGAAGATATTAATTTGAACCATTTTAGAAATGTCTTTTTTAAAACTGCCCACCTGTAGCTGAATTAGAAGCCCAAAGGACCAATTATGTGTGTTTTGAGAAGAGTTTAAAAAAAAAAAAAGGGTTAAGCCTACTTTTCAAACATGGATATAGTTTAAATCTCAACTAGAGTTTTAAATACTAGTGATCAAACATATCAGGGGGAAGCAAAGTAATCGCTCAGTGTGTCAAAAAGATCGTAATGGTAACATTAACATCTAGCTTTAGCTTAAGTCAGTCATAGGCTCAAACTTGTTGTGTTTAAATTTGTCATGTGAAAGGAAGAAATAGCAGTGGATAACAATACCTTGCTTTAAAGTACAGTGCAAATCAGCATATGAGTGAAGAAAGCATTGAACCTGACTTAGAACATATAATGAAACCCTATTAATACAGGCTCATATTTTCTGCATTTGGCTAAACTATGAGACAAATTGTATTACCTTCAAGGTAACCAACACATACTGGAAACAAGACATTTAACTATACTGATGGCCTCTAAAGCCACTGCAAATCCTGTCCTGGGTCCCCCAACTCAAAGAAGTTTCATTATGGAATACAAGCAGGGGAATCCTTTTAGCTAAATGTTCAGTTCTCATGCTAGCAAATAATGACAGAAATTTGTTATTTCTAAAACAACAAGAACATCAACGACAGCAACAAAAGGACTACCCAGTAGGAATGGAGTGAAATAAATAAGAAAGGATTTTAGAGGAATATTGAATTTGAGCTAAGGAATGTTAAAAAGTCAAACAACAAAGGCTAGTTACCCCACAAAAGTAACAGTAATCACCCCTCAGCTCAAAGAAAAAGGAAAAGAAGATAAAATGCTTGAGATAAAAATCTTCTAAGTTCAGTAGTATAACAGAGACCTCCGTTTGCAGAGGGCATCATTGAATAAATCCTGAACTCCAGTTTTAGTCCTGGATTCCTATTCTAGAATCTTTCTTCAAAGTATTAAAGTGATATTAAAGCATATTCAAGAACTTTGTCTTTTACATAAAACCTAGATGTACTGAAACACATGTATAACAAAAAAGAATACTTGGCAGTCTAAAATTTTTGCAGTATATAAAAAATTATCTTTTATATTTGAGGGCCACAAAAGCTCACTTGTTTTAAAATACATTCATTTTAGGAAGTTAGGATACAAGTGAGAAAGAAAGAAATGACAAGATTCATAGTTCCCTAACCTGACTTTGAAGTTCAGGAATGGTGCCCTCAGGTCTTTTGGAAGTCTCCCCCACTCTGGAGACCAAGAGTTAGGTAGAACCGTTCATAAAGTGGGCATGTGAAAATGAGTTATTTTAGAGGAAAATTTAAAACTAGAATGGATGAGGGGCGCCTGGGTGGCGCAGTCGGTTAAGCGTCCGACTTCAGCCAGGTCACGATCTTGCGCTCCGTGAGTTCGAGCCCCGCGTCGGGCTCTGGGCTGATGGCTCAGAGCCTGGAGCCTGTTTCCGATTCTGTGTCTCCCTCTCTCTCTGCCCCTCCCGCGTTCATGCTCTGTCTCTCTCTGTCCCAAAAAATAAATAAATTTTGAAAAAAAAAATTTAAAAAAAAAAAAAAAAAAACTAGAATGGATGATTGGGGGAGGAGAAAGAGTGAGAAAATTATACATATGAATTACTTCTTTTTGCTTCATCCAGGCTCATTTGCTACACCACCAGACTCAATTGAAAATAGTAGCAGCTTTTTATAATAAGAAAAATCATAGAGCAACAGGTACATGGGGGCAAAAGTTTTAAACAGTGATAGTGAGTTAATAAGATAAACAAGTTAATGCAAGTGGTTTTATAAAGTAAGTATTCTGAGTCAGTGAATTTCATTTTACTACTATTAAGTATTTACATAGGAAGAGACCTGGGAACTGTTCATATAGCACATATAAGATGAAGGATAATGCTTTCTACTCAACCTCAATGATTATAAATATTAAAAGGACTGAAAATTGTTCTTACCATGTAAGATTCTGAAACGCCATACATAAAAAAGTTAATCCGCTACTTCAATGAAAAGACAATAAACTGATTTAAATTTGTCTAGTTAATAATTTTTTGAAATTAAAAAAAATTTGGTCAAATATTTACTTGCATAGGGTAGTTTACTTATAATTTTTAATTATATGATTAAGGAAAATATTAATAATATTGCATATAAATAAATATTTCCAGGTACTATTTTCTACATTACCATCTAATATTCCATTTTTGTGAAGTCATCAAAATAATATTTTGAAAAATAAATAATGTGGTGGGGGTGAAGGCTCATGTAACATTTAGAGGAAAATAAGAGTATAAAATGATATATATGAGTTCAAGAGTATAAAAATACTTAGATATTACTAGAAAGAAATAGATAAAAAAAGTTAAATGTTTATCTGCGTGGGAACATTCATGATGAAGAATTTTTACCTTCTTTATACTGTTTCTATGTTATGCATGCCTGTGTGTGTGTAACTATTTTAAGAAAGCTTCATATGAATGTATGTTAAAGATTACAGACTGCCTAAAGGAAAATCACATAATAGGTCTAAGAAAAACAACACAGAAGACTCACCATCACATGAAAGGGAAACATAACTTCCTAAGTCATCAGACATGTGCCGCATCACATTTTTACCCCTCTTCAGACCAAGGAAGATCCAATAATCTATTGCTGCTCCAAGAATTCCTGTGAGTAAGTAGGCTAGCTCATGTTTGAAGACCTAACATTAAGATGGGACAAATATTAGTAATGCATATTAAAATAGATGGTTTTTTTTATTAGTGTTTATTTCAAATACTTGTTGAGGCAAACTTAGCTATTTAAAATTAGAGTACGCTAACACTAAAAGGTGTTCCTGAGAACCGCAGCAAGCTAATTCCCTCTCTCCATTTTCTGCCTCTCCTTCCTCCCCCTATCCATATCTAAATCTTTATATCCATATGACAAAACCGCTAATAAAACAAAACCTCCAGTACTTATATACAGACAGCTTAGAATAAACTTTTAAAATATCATTATTCAACAGTGTCGAGTGCTTTATTATGGCAGTAATTCCATTAAAACATGGAGGAGATATCTGGCTTCTGTGGATTTCTGTTAACAGGAATACAGAGATATTAAAAAAAAAAAAAACTTAGCCATCCCTGTTTATATATAAAATTAAACTTTCCATTTCTCCATATGGCATACTCCAGAAAAAGACTTAAAAAACACAATGAATAAGAACTTTAGCAAACAAGATTGTTGTAAAGAAACAGATTGGTTAAAATTCTAATTATTAAATTGTATCAAGTTACATTACCTAATTTAGAGATGTATAGGGATCAATTCTTAAAGATGAATATTGTTCTATATTATCACTTCTAAACATTAAATTCCTATAAAAAATAAAGCAAGCATACAAACTTTAATTACAGTAAGTATGCTTTACCCTAATGTGGAAAATCTCTAATTCACAAAATATGAAGGCAAAGAGGTATAAAAATATTTTTAAACACTTTTGATTTAAAAATTAACACTTTTCCACAATGACATTAAAACTAGTTGAAATTCCTTTACTTTCGGTATTTGTTCTTTAGGTGGGTTGGATGTGTGAAAAAAAATGCCAAATTAACAGCTGGGTACAAAACATGTGAAAAGATTTTAATAAATAAATGTTATAGTATCCAAATAGATGGTAAGTGCTATGTTCCGCAACTATACTAAACCTAATATGGGGTTAAGGGCAGAGAAATCACGAACCATCAGAGACTACTGGATTTCTTTCTCCTGCCTTCAGCAGACAAGGTTCCTACAGTGTAAAATATTTCATAAGAGTACCATCATTCCTTATTATAAGAAGCTATTACTAACTTCAAAACTAAAGTTCTAGTTCTGGTTTGTTGTGCAAGCAGCACATACACCAGGCCTGCCAAAACAGTGTTTACTGAGGAAAAGCCCAGAGTCAGGGTGCTTAGGTAGGTGTGCAAGTTCCCTGTGGCTCTATCACACTGTATGGCGGTACTGCATTAAGGCAGGGCTGGACATTAGAATGTGAGAGAGAGACTATGAAGAATGGGGCCGAGGAGATTTTAAGCTGCATGGTTAGGGAAGCACTACCCTTCCTGTAATATCATCAGGAGCCTCAACACAGAACCTTGACCACAGCTCGATGCTGCCAGGTCAGGATTCGTGACTGGGCATCAGCACCACCCTCTCGCCCACCCTGATTAGAGGGCTGTGTTTAAGTCTTGCAGTTGCAGCTGTGTGACCCGGGCAGCTAGCAGTAGGACTGGCTGTATCAGCAGGCGGGAAAGTACCAACTCCTCCCCTAGTACCCTGGTAGGGTCCCGAGCCATAAGCTGACCACAACTCACTCCCTTAGGCATTGAGTCTTAGCTAGTCTTCAAAGTAGTTTGCAGGAAGCCAACTCTTGACTTTGTAAAGCCAACATGGAGATAATCACTCTGAGCAAGTTTTATTTCTCAGGGTTCAACTTATCAAGAGAACATAAAACAGGACAGTGAGAATCTACATTTGAACTAAAAGTTGATCATATCGAGATCCATGCTGCAGAATGTTCCTTGCAACAAAATGTTTATCTGAATGTCAGCAATGACACTACTTAGGAAACTATCAAGAGATTGGCAAATTTTGATTTTACAAAATATTCTCCATCCCAAGAGAAGAATAAATCAGGATCACTTCAGATCCCTAGTCATAAGGCTCTGAATAGGGAAAAAAGAGGTTAGCCCACAGAGCTAAGTCTCATGTAAAACCACAATCCAGCACTCCATCAATTTAAAAAAAGACCCCACAAAATCAACCAGTTGGGACCTTTCTCTTTCCTTACACAAATGTAAGTACACATGTACTTGGTACCACAAATTAATTTTGATAGTGCCTATTATCCAATTTACCTTGATACTACTGTTAGTAAATAGAGACAGGTAGTACTTGCAAGGAATTACTGTAGCTTCTTTGCCATGGTAAGAAAATCTTGTTAAAATTATTCTTACCCGTGTGACATTAGCTAAGCATCCATACTACCACATATTCATTATAGTAAATTTTTATACAAAAAGACACTTTCAAATCAGGGTTTTGGACCCTTTCACGTTATATTCTTATCTATGCCACTCACCGTCACCACAGGGCCAAGATACTGCACTATGGACTGTACTCACTGTGACTTTAACAGTGTATAAATAATGCTACCAATTCTAACAGAGTGAATATATATGATTTAGAAGGAGATTAGTGAGAATATGGCAAATACATCATCAAGGGAGACAAGCTTTCCTGGAATATTGAAATGTCTGCTAAAGCTGAAAGAACAGAAAACCCTGAGAATTAACAAACAAATGAAAGATAGACATGATCTGCACATGACATACATTTATCTTAGAATCCCCTTTCTAATGTGTTAAAGTCTATTATCAGACATTTTGTCAATACAGTTCTCTAGTGTCTCTATTGACTGCCAGTACAAGTAATCTCCATTGAATCAATCAATTTGGTGATCTTCCAAAAACCGACTACTGTATCATGTAGAACAAACTACAATCTTGGCCTTCCGACTCCCAGGTTAGGGCTTTACATAATATCCCATGGCAATAGAGGACACATGGCTCCTCTAGTACCGTTGTCAGAAAGATGCAAACATAATACACATAATGTGCCTCTTCCTGTTTAAAACACTGGCATCTGAAGCAAGAGAAAGTATGTTGCAATGGAGACTTGGCCCCTAGTCAAGACTTTGCCCTAACAAGCTGTGACACCTTGAAGAAGTTCCTTAAACTCTTTAGCCTCAATTTCCTTATTTTTAAATACAAAGTAGCTTCCAATTTCTACCTATAATAGTAGGGTTATCATTAAATAGCACTTAAAGACATCACAAAGAAAAGAAGGACTAACCACCAAGCTTAGCAAAATTTATACCTCCCTCCTAACCTTGACACAGCTCACCTCTGCTCTTTGCCAAGGAAAGCCCAAAGCTTTCTCAGATTAATGACAATGAAATTCACTGCCATTGTGTCACTCTGCAACACTTGCTGATTGACATTATGACAAAACAATATTAGCATAAACTGAGGACTTCTGTTTAGCTAATGACTTAAATTGAATGCTTCAACTCAGCAAATCAAGAAACAAATGCTTTATAGTACAGAAAATGATGTCTGTGAACATGCATGGAATTCTTGAAATTGGAAACTGCCAAAAAGATTTAATTAGTTCAAGAATGAATTCTAGCAGATAAGGTAACACATACACACAAAAACCAGTTTATATGAATTTACACAATTCAAATGTTAAATAAAATATTAATCTGTCAAGTTTAAAGTTTAATCTGTCAAGTTCTAATATTATAACCGATGCTACAACTGCAATGCTTCACAAAATGTTTAATTTATTTAAAAATCTGAACAAAAATCTTTAAGTTAAATACGGGTAAATCTGTTATTATTTACATCAGCATTTCCTGAGTAAATTTGTATCTTTGACAGTACTTTTGTAAAACTGTGAAAATGTCAGTGTTATTATTATTTTCAGTTACAAATGAGTAATTTAATCTATATAACCCAAATGGATAAAAAAGAAATGCTCCATAATAAGAAAATATTTTCTATCCCTAATGATTCTATGATCTAAAAAGTACATAAAAAGACAGACAGTAATTAATAAGAATGTTACCAGTTTTTTTTTAAATTTTTTTTTAACATTTATTTATTTTTGAGACAGAGAGAGAGAGAGCATGAATAGGGGAGGGTCAGAGAAAGAGGGAGACACAGAATCCGAAACAGGCTCCAGGCTCTGAGCTGTCAGCCCAGAGCCCGACGCAGGGCTCGAACCCACGGACCGTGAGATCATGACCTGAGCGAAGTCGGACGCTTAACCGACTGAGCCACCCAGGCGCCCCAGAATGTTATCAGTTTTATCTTAAAAGTATTACAGAAGTATTAAACTCAACTGCCGATGAAGTATCATTTTATGTTGACTAACTTACACACATGTATGTAACCCTATTTTTTTTTTTTAACCCTGTTTTTTTAAATAAGACTACTCACTTGGTTATTGCCACATAATACAACTCCTTGGTCACAGAGACAAGCAATACTCGGAAATAATTCTCCCTTTTAATGCCAAATTAAAGAAAGTTTGGGGCCTTTAAAAGAATTTTGTTTTAAAGCCTCAGGTACCACCTAAACAGAATTCTGAAAGACCAGTAAGGGCTTCCGTTTCTGATAATAGAGGCCTAAGTAATTCAAATATATGCTGTTAAAGAAGAAAACTAAAAATGTTGAATAAAATAGGTAAAACATCTTCTGGAAACCTATTAAGAAATTGCTAAGCCAAGATCTAGGAGAAGGTAAAAAGCCAAATGAGGCACTCAAAGCTAGATGACTTTACCCTAAGGACACTTGTTGAATCCAGAGAAAGAGCTGAGATATAAAACTGTGGTTTTTGGAGCCCAGAGGAAAAGGAGTATAAAAGCCATAGCCCAAGGCCTAATAAAAACTGTTTGTATTTGTAGCCCTGTACTTCACTTGGGATTACCCAGGAACCCTCAAACCTGGCAACAGAAATTCTCTCCAGAGGAAGATATTCTGTCTTTGTCATGTTATTGTTTTTACAAATAATTTTTCAAATGTGATTTATGGCATATAGTAAATGATAACTAGCTCATAAGAGAATATATAAAACACAAGAGAAGTTAACAGGAGAAAACAGGTAGACTTATGAAGCCTTCAGACATGCAACAGTCAGTCAAAGACTATAAATTTATTACTGCCACGTTGAAACACGAAAGAAAACCTTGAATATTTTGTAGGCAACCAGAAACCATAAAAACATGTCATAGTAATTAGGAAGTAAAAACGTCTAAAACTGGCAAAAATACAAAACGTAAAAATGCAATAGTCATGTTTAACAACATATTAGACACTACTGAAAAGAGACTAGTGAATTAAAAATTAAATGAAAAGACACTACCCAGAATGCTTCAAAATATGAAAGACCTGAAAATCTAGATGACAGGGAAAAAGCACAGATGATACATGGAGAAAGTATAGTAAGTTTAATTGGAACTAAAAAAAGTAGAGCAGGGGCGCCTGGGTGGCGCAGTCGGTTAAGCGTCCGACTTCAGCCAGGTCACGATCTCGCGGTCCGTGAGTTCGAGCCCCGCGTCAGGCTCTGGGCTGATGGCTCAGAGCCTGGAGCCTGTTTCCGATTCTGTGTCTCCCTCTCTCTCTGCCCCTCCCCCATTCATGCTCTGTCTCTCTCTGTCCCAAAAATAAATTAAAAAAAAAAAAAAAAAAAAAAAAAAAAAAAAAAAAAAGTAGAGCAGAAAAAGTCAATCAGAGGAAATATGAGAAGAGAAACTATGTAAGAATTTTCCTGGAGAAAGAATAGACTTATGGCCATTTGACACCAGGATTCTCCACCTAAAACACTATGCATTATCTACACAAACAAATGGTTAAAATAAAAAAAAAGAAAGAAAGAAAAAAAGCAACAAATTTACAAAGTAGATTCAGAAGTATTAATTAAGGCAATTATTAAATTTGACTTAAAAGTGACAGAGAGGAATTTAAAACAATGGGGAAAACATACTGTTTACTCTGATCTTACATGGACTCGAAAAGTAAAGTTCAGTTAACTTCACATGCCAGAAATACAGGGCTCATTTTTTTTAACTATAATTTACATTAGAAATTAACAAAAAAGCACAAACATATCCATTAATCATAACAAGAATATATCCATTTAGAAGTTTTAAAGCATATTAAAATGCTTCTTGAATCAAAGAATTCATAACTGACAATAAAAAACATTGGGGAAAAAAAACCACTAACAGCACACTGAAGTATTAAAACCTGTGAATAAATCTCAATCTGTAGTCAAAGGCAATTTATTTTGAGTATATTAGAAATAAGGACTAAAAAGAAAATAGATCCAAATATTCAAGATATAAAAGGAAAGAACTAAAAAAATTATGAACAGCTGAGAGACTCTTAATGACAGAGAACAGAGGGAGGTGGTGGGGCATGGGCTAGTTGGGTGATGGGTATTAAGGAGGGCACTTGTGATGAGCACTGGGTGTTATATGTAAGTTATGAATCACTGAATTCTACTGCTTAAACCAATATTGCACTGTATGTTCACTAACTATAATTTAAATAACAGCCTGAAAAAAAATTATAAGCAGAAATCAATGATATTAATACACAAAAAGCAGACAATTAAGTCCCAAAGGCAGATTATTCTCAAGAGAAGAAAGGTGATAAATGGTTATTATGCATCCAAAACATGGCACAGTATGTTGCAATGCACCTTACATATTTCAGTGCATTTAATTTTCCCAACTACCCTTCAGATAGGTAATACACTAAAATCACCGTACTTTAAATTTCTAATGACAAGCAAGATCTACTTATGAAGAAATAACTAACAACCACAAAGGTAGTTTTAAAAACAAGTAAAACTTTCTATTTGTACACACAAAAAAATGTATGGACTGTTTTTAAAATCATAGGTTCCGTAAGAATTGAAATTGTACAAAAGTAGAAAATCTCGAGTAAGTGAATTCAGATACCTTAGCAGTAATGATCAAAAAACTGTCCCTAGCTACTACACCCAGATGTAAGATGATGAAGAAACCAACTTCTAAGGATCTTTTACAATAAAACCTAAATGAACAGAAAACAATGATACATTTGGAGAGATTTTACTTTTATTCAAACTGTTCAAAGAATAAAGACAAAAGATGTGTAACTCAAAGATGTGCTTTTTCATAGGTCATTATTCATTTGTAAATCAATTCTACTTACATCATTAGACTTGCATTTTTCCTTGTGAGAATATATGGTCCACTCCAAAAGCATATTTACTGGTTTGGTCAAAAGCCCAGAGGCCTCATTTCCTGACCAAAAGATTTCAAGAAGAATTGCTTTTCCTGTTATTTTCAGACTCTGAGAATCTGACCAGTCATACAACCTAATGAAAATATGAATCAAAGTATATTTTTATGCCAACTTGATCACTATAGTCATTAGGCATAATATCTTTTGCCATAACACAAAATGATCTAGTGATTTCTAAATATAGAAAGGGTGTAATATATAAAGATTTTAACAAAATTATAATAAAGAGCACAATATAAAAAATGGTCATAATTCAATATAATGATCAAAAAACAAATAGTAATCTAACTGCATGTCTTAGAACATACACAAAACTTATCATGGATATTACAGATTCAATGTTAAAAAACCCAGTAGAACTTCCACTTAGGTATTCCATTACTTAAGAATTAAAAAATACATAAACCCTGAAAAATATATGAAATTTTACCTATCCAAATGTCTAAATTAGTGAAAAACAAAAATGTGAACTGAAGCCACATAAAGAACATAAAAATCTTTACTGAAAGACTATGTCTACAACCATGTTTTAAAAACAAATCTACTTTAAACTAGAAAACAAGGTGACTTTTTAGATGTACATAAATTAGAAAAATAATACATAAAACAATATAAATATAGAAAAATTTTTCTTTATGATTAAACTTACTTTTGGCTCAGATGTCGCACTTCACTTTCCACTAAATTAAAGAAAAATTTGAGCAGGGTCAGGTGGAGCACCTTACTGCCAATAATATTTTTCGAAATTTGATGACAAAAACTTTCATTGTAAAGACAAGACCTGAAGAACATGAACCCAATAATTTGTAACATACAAGCAATTTAATGAATATTCTGTGGACAAAGTATTTCTTTGAGAGAATTATTAGAAATCTAATGAAATTTGCTTCAACAAACTATAAAACTAATCAACAATATTTCATTAGTATGTTTTCTTCCTTTAAAAATTAAACCATGTCAAATATCTCATGACATTTAATTTTTAGTAATACAGATCTCATTTCTGTTTGTAAACGACTGTAATATTTAATAGCCAAATGGTACTCTATTCTTTATTTCACTGATAAAGACCAAAAAATTATGTATTTCATTAAACACTTTCAATTCAGATGATAAGCTATAGTCTCATAGAATACTTTCTATAGTCCTCTTCTTACTCAAGATTATTTGTTGTTATTATCTAGTAAAATGAAGGTCATTTAAGGCTATTTTTTAAGAGTTTAAAAAATTTAATATTGGGGCACCTGGGTCATTCTGTCGGCTAAGCATCTGACTCTAGATTTTGGCTCAGGTCATGATTTGGTTTGTGGGATAGAGCCTCCTGCCTCCTGTTGGGCTCTATCCTGACAGCACAGAGTCTGTTTGTGATTCTTTCTCTCCCTCTCTCATGCCACCGCCTCCCCAGCCTCTCCTTGCTGTACTTGGGTGTGAGTGTGTTCTCTCTTAAAATAAATAAATATGCATTTTTAAAAATTTAATATTTTCTTTTCATCTACTATAGCCGTACTGTCCAACAGAACTTTCGGTGATGATGGGATATGTCCTGCTGAACACGTGAAATGTGCAACTGAAGACTTGAATTTTAATCTTAAATTTATTTATTTATTTATTTATTTTAATTTTTTTAACGTTTATTTATTATTGAGAGAGAGAGATAGAGAGAGAAAGAGCATGAGCAGGGGAGGGGCAGAGAGAGGGGGAGACACAGAATCCGAAGCAGGCTCCAGGCTCCAAGCTGTCAGCACAGAGCCCGACACGGGGCTCGAACCCACAAACTGCGAGATCATGACCTGAGCCGAAGTCAGTTGTCAACCAACAGAGCCACCCAGGCGCCCCTAATCTTAAAATTAAATATGGTCACATGTGGCTATTGGCTACTGGGTTGGACAGCAAAGTTGTATAGTTTTTTTTTTAAAGAGGGTGTGCAATTACTCAGAAGTCTAGGACTAAGAAATCCTACGTAACAATACTTATAATAATGTTCCAAATTTATTATCAATTATATAAACAATGTACTTGTAATTTTCTACCTGTCTCCACCTTTCATCTTCTTTTTGAATACCACATTGTCAGGTTAGCAGGGTCATGAATGACTGTTAAAATTTAATTTAACAATACTCAAATCTCTTCTAGAAGATGTTCTATGCCTATATAATTAGTCTATCTGAAAAGTGCCAGAGTTGGACACCATAGTATCTTTCATTTAAAAAAAAAAAATTTAAAAAAAAATTAAAAAAACCCAAAAACATATTTTAGGGAATATTTCAAATATATTTAAAAGTAGACTAATATTATCCAGCTCATCTATATGTCTACCACTTCCCTAAACACCTTTTTTCTGACTCCCAATGAACCCAATTGTTTTGAAATGAAATCTGGGTATTTGTTTATTAAAAAGTCTACTTGTAATTCCACCTCCTATTGCATCAATTAATTGATCTGAACATTTATTAAGCATTTATTACATTCCAGATATTGTATTAAGACTAAGGATAGAGATGTTTAAAACTGAGCATTTAAGTGAAGAGATGGGAAAACATTATGCAAATGGAAGCAAAAAGAAAGCTGGGGTAGCAATACTTACACCAGACAAAACAGACTTTAAAACAAAGACTGTAACAAGAGACAAAGGACACTACATAACCAGAAGGGAATAATCCAAGAAGATATAACAATTTTAAGTATTTATGCACCCAACATGGGAGCGTGAAAATAAATAAAGCAACTATTAACAGACATAAAAGAAGAAATCGAGAGTAATACAATAGCAGTAGGGGACTTTTAACACCCCGTTACATCACTGGATAGATCAGACAGAAAATCAACCAGGAAATAGTGCCACTGAACGACACATTGGACCAGATGGATCTAACAGATATATTCAGAACATTCCATCCAAAACCTGCAAAATACACCTTATTTTCAAATGCACACAGAACATTCTGCAGAAAAGATCACGTTAGGTTACAAAAAAATCTCAACAATTTTAAAAAGATTGAAATCATATCCCGCATCTATTCTGACCACAAAGTATGAAACTAGTAATCAACCACAAAAAAAAAAAAAAATTGGAACACAAATACACAGATGTTAAATAACATGCTACTCAACAATGAATGGGTCAACCAAGAAATCAAAGAGGAAATAAAAAAATACATAGAGATGAATGAAAATAAAAATATAATGGTCCAAAATCTTTGAGATACAGCAAAAGCTGTTCTAAGAGGGAAGATTATAGCAATACAGGTCTATCTCAAGAAGAAAGAAACATCTCAAGTAAACAACTTAACCTTAAACCTAAAAAGAACAACCAAGCCTAAAGCCAACAGAAAGAAGGAAATTATAAAGATTAAAGCAGAAATAAATGAAATAGAGACTTAAAAAAAAATCAATGAAACAAGGAGCTACTTTTTTGAAAAGGTGAACAAAATTGACAAACTAGAAACAGGACTCAAACAAATTCAGAAATGAAGGAGAGGAGAAATAACAATTTAAACCATAGAAATATAAAGGACTATGAGAGTATTATAAAAAATTATATGCCAACAAATTGGACAACATAAAAGCAACATAAATACCCAGAAACATATAACCTCACAAAATTGAATCAGGAAAAAAAAGAAAATTTGAACAGACTGATTACTAGCAATGAAAATCAGTAATCAAAAATCTCTCAACAAACAAAAGTCCAGGACCAGATGATTTCGCAGGTGAATACTACCAAACATTTAAAGACAATTTAAAACTTACTGTTTTCAAGCTATTTCAAAAAATAGAGGAGGAAAAAAAGCTTCCAAATTCATTCTGAGGCCAGCATTACCTTGATACCAAAACTGGATTAAGATCACAGAAAAAAAGAAAACTCTAGGCCAATAACTGATAAAGATGTAAAAATTCTCAACAAAATATTAGCAAATCAAATTTAACAATACATCTAAAAAACAATTCATCACGATCAAGTGGGACTTATTCAGGGGATGCAAGAGTAGTTCAATATTCACAAATCAATCAACATGATACATCACATCAACAAGAGAAAAGATAGAAACCATATGATCATTTCAAGAGACACAGAAAAAGCAGTTGACGAAGTACAAAATCCATTCATGATACAAACCCTCAACAAAGTAGGTATTGAGGGAACATACCTCAACATACTAAAGGTCACTTATGAAAAACCTACAGCTAACATCATCCCTAATAGTGAAAAACTGAGAGCTTTCCCCCTAAAGTCAGGAACAAGACAAGGATGTCCACTATCACTACTTTTATTCAATATAATACTGGAAGTCCTAGTCACAGCAATCAGACAAGAAAAAGAAATAAAAGGCATCCAAATTGGTAAGGAAGAAGTACAACTTTCACTATTTACAGATGATGATGGGATACTATATATAGACAATGTTAGGGGTGCCTGGGTGGCTCGGTCAATTAAGCAACCAACTTTGGCTCCCGTCATAATATCACGGTTCTTGAGTTCAAGCCCTTCATCAGGCTCTGTACTGACAGCTCACAGCCTGAAGCCTGCTTCGGATTCTGTGTCTCCCTCTCTCTCTGCCCCTCCCCTGCTCACGTTCTGTCTCTCTCTTTCTCAAAAATAAATGTAAAAACAAAAAAAAGAAAAAAAGAAAAAAGAAAATGTTAAAGACTCCAACAAGAAACTATAAGAAATGATAAATGAATTCAGTCAAGTTGTAGGATACAAAATCAATATATAGAAATCTGTTTTATTTCTGTACACTAGTAGTGAAGTAGCAGAAAGAAAAAATTAGGCAACCATTCCATCCACAATTGCACCAAGAAGTATAAAATACATAGCAATAAACTCAACCAAGGAAGTGAAAGAATTGTTCTTTGAAAACTATAAAACACTGATGAGAGATACTGAAGGTGATACAAAGAAAAAGCAAGATATTCCAGGCTCATGTGCTGGGAGAACCAATATTGTTAAAATGCCCACACTATTCAAATTAATCTAAAGATTTAACGCAATCCCTACCAAAATATCAACAGCATTTTTTACAGAGACAGAACAAGTAATACTAAAATAGAACCACAAAAGGCCCCAGTAGTCAAAGAAATCTTAAGAAGAATAAAACTGGGGGTGCCTAGGTAGTTCAGTTGGTCAAATGTCTGACTTCAGCTCAGGTCATGATCTTGCGGTTCTTGAGTTCGAGCCCCATGTTGGGCTCGGTGCTGACACCTCTGAGCCTGGAGCCTGCTTCAGATTCTGTGTCTCCCTCTCTGTCTGTCCACCTCCCACTCACAATCTGTCTCTCAAAAATTAGTAAACATTAAAAAAAATAAATTAAAAAAAAAGAAAAGAATGAAACTGGAGGTATCACAATCGCCGATTTCAAGATATAGTACAAAGCTGTAGTAATCAAAAACCATATGTACTGGCACAAAAAGAGACACACAGATCCATGGAATAGAAGAGAAAACCCAGAAAGAAACCCACAATTATGTGGTCAATTAATCCCTGGCAAAGAAGATTAAGAATATATGAGAAAAAAAGACAGTCTTTTCAACACATGGTGTTGGGAACACTGGACAGACAGCTACATGCTAAAGAATAAAACTGGACCACTTTCTTACACCACATGCAAAAATAAACTCGAAATGGATCAAAGACCTAAATGTGAGAAAATCCCTAGAAGAAGACACAGGCAGCAATCTTTTTGACATCAGCCGCAGAAACATTTTTCTAGCTATGTCCCCTAAAGCAAGGAAAATAAAAGCAAAATTAAACTACTGGAACTGTACCAAAATAAAATGCTTGGATCTAGCAAAAGAAACCATCAACAAAACAAAAAGACAGCCTATTGAATGGGAGAAGATATCTGCAAGCGATATATCTGATAAGGGGTTAATAGCCAAAATATATAAAGAACTTCTACAATGCAACACCCTCAAAAAACAAATAATCTAATTAAAAATGGGCAGAAGATATGAACAGACATTTCTCCAAAGAAGACTTCCAGATGGCCAACAGACACTTGAGAAGATGCTTGACATCACTCATCGTTAGGGAAATGCAAATCAAAACCACCATGTTATCACCTCACACCTATGAGAAAGGCCAAAATCAAAAACTCAAGAAAAAAACAAGTGTTGGCAAGGATGTGGAGAAAAAGGAACCCTTGTACAGTTGGTGTTAATGCAAGCTGGTGAAGCCACTTTGGGAAATAGTATGGAGGTTCCTCAAAAAATTAAAAATAGATATAACCATATGATTCAATAATTCTGCTCCTGGGTATTTGCCCAAAGGAAATAAAAACACTAATTGGAAAAGATATATGCATTGTGTTTACTGCAGCATTATCTACAATAGTCAGTGTATGGAAGCAACGCAAGTATCCATCCAGAGATGAATCAATTTCTTTACAATGGAGTATTACTCAGCCATAAAACAAAAAAACAAAAACTCTTGCCATTTTCAACAACATGGATGGATCCACATGGTATAATGTTAAATGAAAAAAGTAAGTCAGAGAAAGCCAAATACCACATGATCTCACTCATATGTGGAATTTAAGAAACAAAATAAATGAATAAATAAACAGACAAAATAAACCAAACTCTTAGATACAGAGAACAAACTGGTGGATGTCAGAAGGGAAATAGATGGGTAGGTAGATGGCCAAAATAGGTATTGGGAATTAAAGAGTACACTCACCATTATGAGCACCGAGTAATGTAAAGAATTGTTGAATCGTTATACTGTATGTCTGAAACTAATATAACACTGTGTGTTAACTATACCTGAATTAAAAAAAAAAAAAAGCCTTAGAAAAACTGGGCATCTACTCTTGAAAAAGTCAGAAGCTGAAGTGAGTGACAAACAACTTAGAGGAAAGGGCAAGAATTATGAAGTGGCATCTGAGTTATAAGTTGAAGTATAATCAGGAATTGGCTAGATATTCATGGGGTTCAGGAATAGAGGTATATTTAGGCAGAGAAAACATAAGAGCAAAGGGATAGGAAATGAAAAATAGTTTAGTTACTGAGCACATTTGGGAAAATAATGAAGATGAGAATAGAGCCATATACAGCAGCTAAATCACAAAAGGTCTTACATGTTTTGCTAAGGAATTCCAATTGTCTCTTATAGGTGATGTGTCAGTTAATGGAAAACTTTTATCTGGGAAATGACAACATTACTTTGGTAAGAATATACTGAGGTACTTTGGAAGATAAAGGGCAAAAAGTAGAATCAAGATCAATAGAGCAGGTATTGCAATAGTTTACATATGAAGCCATGAGGGCTTTTAAATAATGACAATAACAGTAAAGATGCAGATTTGTAAATACATAACCCATATATCTTCACATTTTATACAAATGCTGGACTAGTACTGGTACTTTAGAATTGTATTTATATCTCAGTCACCTTCAAAAGTGAAGGAACTGGCGCCTGGGTGGCTCAGTTGGTTGAGCACCCAACTTCTTGAGTTTTGCTCAGATCATGATCTCAAGGTTCGTGAATTCCACCTTCTGCAGAGCTCTGAGCTGACAGCAGGGAACCTGCTCACAATTCTTTCTCCCTCTCTCTGTGCCCTTCCTCTGCTCACGTGTGTGCCTATGCTCTCTCTCAAAAATAATCATTTTTTTTTTTAATTTTTTTTTCAACGTTTATTTATTTTTGGGACAGAGAGAGACAGAGCATGAACGGGGGAGGGGCAGAGAGAGAGGGAGACACAGAATCGGAAACAGGCTCCAGGCTCTGAGCCATCAGCCCAGAGCCTGACGCGGGGCTCGAACTCACGGACCGCGAGATCGTGACCTGGCTGAAGTCGGACGCTTAACCGACTGCGCCACCCAGGCGCCCCAAACAATCATTTTTTTAAAAAAATGAAGGAACTGCTTTTTTATTTATCTTTTTATCCCCAGATAAAAAAAAGATATCCCCTATATGTTGCACAGTGCCTGGCTCCCAATAAGTACTCAATAAACACTTGTTGAAAGAATTAACAAAAAGCATGCTAGCCAGGTGATTAGTTCACTTCCAATATATCACAACTTTTATATCTTTATATAATCTCAAAGATATAATCTTTATAATCTCAAAGAGATAATCAAAGGTCTAGCCTTTGCCTGGCTAGTCAAGCATCCTTTCTCTCACCATGATGGAGTGTCCTGAAACTGAACACTTGGATAAGGAAGTACTTTCCAAACAAAAGCAGGCTACCAGATACAGGGAGCTCTCCGAGAAGAAAAAAAAAAAAAAAAGAAACAAAAACAAACAAACAAAAACTTCATGGTTTGGTACAAAGAAAGAGAATTAAAAAGGATTTCCAGAGAAACATCTTCAAGACAAAAAGAAGAATCTAGGAAGAAAACATGCAGAGACACAAAAGGAATGACTCTTTAGGGAACACTAATTTGTTTCAAAATTCAGATTTCTAGCTAAAAAAAAACCCACAAAACACTGTAAGAGAGAATATATACAGATACCAATGTTTACACTTTTGATGACCAAAATTTGATGATCTCCATATTCAATAAATTTTAATTAGATTTTAAAACAATATATACACATATAATTTTGTTAAAAAAATTAAAACAAATAATGATTTGCTTTTCCTGTCTATTTCATTAAACTTCTTTCTTTTGTAAAGAAACTAAATGACAAATATGACCAATCTAGACTTGACCTTTTTGTGAGTTTTATAAGAAATACAACAAACATTATACACACATATAAACTTTTTCTAACATGAAATGTACTTCTTTCACTTTTGTCTAAAACATATATAGCAAAATGAGATAAAATTAAGTATCCTCACATGTCAAATTCCTTACCTGATAAGCACTTCTATGAGAGACCATGCTCCTTTCATACAAGTTGGACACTGAAACAGCTCTAAGTAATATCTTGACATGGCTGGGGACTTCCAAGGAGGATGTAGGTGAAGAAGAGCAGACAATATATGAAAGTATCGGCCAGAAAATGTATCTACGTTATCCTATTGTTTAAAAATAAACAAACAAGTAAAATGCTACAGCTAAAAATTCACTTTAACTGTTCCTCTAGCCTAAAACTGTAATAACCATGACCTAACTTTCTTCCCAAATAGATGTATTTGGAAGTTATTATATTTAACTAAACACTGCAACTGAGAAAGACACACATTCTAAATACGTTTCTATACATTAGGTAATCACAGCTATTGACACTAACTTATATGAAATGTCCACTCTACTTTTCATGATTATAGTGAGATTAAGAGTGGCCAAATGTGACCTGAGAGGAATTAAAGGTAAAAAGCTTTTCATGCAATATGCTTAGTTATCACCAACATTAGTCCGACATAGCTTAGGTTTGTTATTTCTTCAAATTGGCACTATGATGAAGAACATAATTAGAAAGCTACCTTTGAGAAGCTGTTCTTACTGGTATTCACAGTTTAAGGAATGTGTTTATTGTCTGCATATACTATGAATAAAATGATTATCACTGTACAAATGGCTTTCCTGATCATTGTTATCACATTTTTATGTTAGTTACTTTACCGCCACAGAAAAAATCAGATAAATTTTTCCTAAGAGAAAATTATCTTAGAGATTCTAAGAAAGTAAATTAGATCACTCAAAGTAGTACCTAGAAAATAGTTTAAAAGTACCTAGAAAATAGTTTAAAAGTAAAAAGAAATGGGCCGCAATCTCAAGTCTTGGACTCGCTGGGATGCACCAGAGAGATCTAACACCCAGTCCTTATATAGTCTTTATGAGAAACGAAACTTGTGCCTGCAGGAGATCCACGTTCCCACCTGGACACATGTGGGAAACCAGGCCTCCACAAAAGTGCTGCCTCCTAGCTCAACAATGGGATTATCTAAAAGTTAACATGAGGGAGGTAGTAGCCCTCTCTTCCCTCTGCACCTTCTTCTGCATCACCTAGCCTAAAGTTGTACCGTCCTCCACCAGAGTAGCAGAATATACTTCTCCCATCCCAAACCAGCATCTGAAGGATTGCAGAATGACTCAAGTTCCTTAGTGCATTTGTAAAACAGCTCACCCAGTGAAGACAATGAAGATTACTGACAATGCTGCTCTGCTTTTTCTGACATCCTGTACCAGGAAAATCGTGTTTTTAAATCTTATGCTATAATCAGCATAATTTCACCTCTTGAATTTGGATGAGTTCTGGGACATAACCAAGATCAGGCTGTAGACATCTAAGAGTGAAGGCCAAGGCCTGGATCCTGGTGAACTCACCAAGACAAATCACTCCTGTGAGATGCTCCTGTAGCAGCCAATCAATGCTCTCTTTTGTGCCACCAAGTCCTTGCTGTGTAATTTTGAATTCCTACAAATTCATTAAGGTCCCATTTTGTCTCCCATTGCTGAGTTAGTTCTATGGGACTAATAGTAAATTGTGAATTTTTAGCAAATGTTTTGTAATAACTCCAAATACAAAATACATGGAAAAAAAGGTAATATATGGCTACAGCATTTCTTATTAAAATGAGGGAGGGGCACCTAGGTGGCTTAGTTGGTTGAGCGACCGACTCTGGATGCTCAGGTCATGATCTCGCAATTGATGAGTTCAAGCCCCACACTGCCTTGTTGTCAGTGTGGAGTCCACTTCATATCTTCTGTCCCTCTCTCTCCGCCCTCTCCCCCACTTGTTCTCTCTCAAAAATAAAACATTTAAAAACAAATTTTAAAAATGAGGGGAAAATACTGAAAAGACAAACTGTAAATACATAAAAAATGAGAATGTCCGTATTTTAACATTCTCTGAAAGATTATAAACTCCTAGGACTACTCTTACCTGCAGAATGTTCTCTAGGAGAGCATGAAGAAGGCATACAGGGGGGATATAATGTGCCTGTAATGAGGAAAGCTCTTCAATCGCCTCTTTAAAAAACTGTCCTTCTATGAGACTTTCAATTAAATTTAATACACCTCTGGGAAATTCAGCATTTTTAGCCTAAAAAAAAAAAAAGATTCAAGAACTCAAAAGAGAGAAAAATTTGGGGAGCAAATCAAATTAGTAAGGAGACTTAATTTTCCTATCTGTAAAATGAAGACAATTCCTGCCCTCATGACTTCACAGGATTGTTACGTGGTTCAAAAAGATTATTTATATGAATGTGTTTTATAACTATAAGGTACTATAAAAATATACATTAATTGATTTACTTATTATTCTCTGTTGCCTTAAATAGTAAGAGGAAATACAACCACTAAAGGAAAACTTTAAAAGGCATTTCCAAAGTATGGCTGATAATGAGGAGACCTCAGAACTAAAACTACACATAGTTCTTTAGGTGCAAAATTATTTTTTGGTTTCCTTTAAGCTTACAAGCAAACTACATCTATTAAGATATACTAAAGAGATTAAGATGTCACCAAGCACAATCAATGTTTGCAAACAGTTACAATTGCTATTGTGTCACAGAATCACTCTGAAGATGCACATTAATATAACTCTAAGAGTTGAATGACCCCTTGGTCAAAATATAACTACAATGAAATACTGTGAAAGACTACATGAGATAAATTGTAAAGCAATGAATAATATAAAGGAAATATGTACTTTGATAAATATTAAATTGAAAATTTAATATGGAAGTAGTAATCATAAAAGCTGGGAAATGTGAGAACAAGGGTATATAACTCATCCATGATGAGCACAAGGTAAGTTTTTAATTCTCATTATCAGTTTTTATTACCATATACAATTTTTTCAAAGCTTTAATAGAATATTACTTTTTTTTCATTACTGATTAGAGAACGTACATTTCACATTTGATGGCAAGCTTTGCTACACAGACAACACATTCCTTTGTATCAAAATAACTAACAATGACAAAACGCAAAGTTTATTTTTTGCCCCCATCACCACACTGCTCCAAGCCCCTTACCTCAATATTGTACACTGGTTGTTTATCTATTCTAATGCAGCTGTATCTGATAGCCTACAAAATAGCAACCATATTACCAAAATTAATAATTTTTTTTTCAGATAGAACAATACATTATAGTGTATAAAAAAATAAAACCTTGGGGAAACTTACAGAACAGACTCAGAAGCATATTAATAGCTATAATTGATCTGGAACATGCTCTATTTTCTCTTTCTAAACTAAAATAACTTAAAAATTAAAGTCATATTCGCTCTGAAGAACTGAAGAGGTCCACTGTCCTTAGTATTTTAATAATTAGAAATACAAATGGGAAGAACATTTTGTATAAAAGTCCAGAGAATAAAAAATATAGTCATGTTTTGTATACAATAACCATCTTCCTCCACTGTTCTAAAATATCTATAATTGTATATTGGTTTCAAAGATTAGACTGGAAAAACATTTGCAACCAACGTAAAAAGAGATAATAATCTGATTATATAATGAGTTTTAGATACAATGATATAAAATAACCTAATGGAAAACTGAAAAAGAATCTAAGTATGCAGGTGACAGAGACAGAAATACACAAATGGTAAGTGAAGGTATAAAATATGCTCAAACTTGCTATTACCAAAAGAAATACAAATTAAAACAATGATAAAGCTTTGGCTTCCACCTAGGATGTAGAAGTGAAAAGCCATAAGCCTCTGGGTAAGTGAACAGGAAAAAAAAATCTTTACTCCTGAAGAAGTACAAGAAAAGATCAGGGTCCCCGATCATTAGCAATCTCCTACCACTGGGGGCAGGGCAAGATCACTGAGAAAGCCCTTTCCCCCAATCTCTCAAGAGCTGCCTAAAACTGAGGCTGACCCAGAACAAAGGCCATTATCCAGCCGTCGTCCTCTAATATCAGGCTAGCAAGCATTACTGCACCAAGATACAGCAGTTTATAAACACCCAATTTATCTCTAGCGTCAGTGAGCTATAAATGGCAGAGAATTCAGCTTACTTATTAAATGTCCAAATACATTACTGTTCATAACAAAGGAATAAACTGAGAAAATTTTAAGATACGTTAAATATAATAATGAGTCATTACTATTATTATATTTTGGCTACACCAAAGGAGGACATGAAACTAGAGAAAATTTTAGTACGGCAAGTTCTACCTGAGCTCTATATATGTGCTTCCTTAGGTCATTTTTTATTTCAACAATATCCACATCTGTCCTGACATCCTTGGGATTTGATTCTTTGGCACCATCAGCAAAAATGGAATTCTTCATTTCTTTCTGCATACACATAAAAGTACTTTAGACAGTGTACTAAAGCAATTTCACCACAAATCTAAGTATAATGAACAAAAGAATACAAAAACAACTCATTCATGCAGCATTAATCTCAACAAAGACCTTTACGATCATATTTCATAAAAATTACAGAATGAAATAGAGTTTAAAGTAGCAAACATTTTAATTTGGAGAGTTTTACCTATTCCTAATCTTTCCGGGAATCTCTCCTCCACCTCCTTTTTGTTGCCACGGTCACACATAATATGATTCATTATTTGTCTACCTTTATCATTTTTCTCAAGATTTTTCTGAATATAGTATGTAAACATGCTGTAGTTTACATTAATTTGTACCCTAGAAAAATTAACTCAAGAGGGATCCCATTCAAAAGACAAGCCATCTTATGAAAAATAATGTGTATTATACCAGGGAAGAGAAAGACAAAAACTAACATTTAGATTAGGAATGTATTACCCAAACTACATACATATGTAGTCTCAAGGTATTTTTCATAGGAATTTTAGGAACTTTTTTAGAAATTTTAGCTTCTTTTTTCGGAAACTTTGTTTCTTTTTCTTTTTTGTGACAGGCAAAAAAGAATGCATTTTAAAATCCTGGCTATTAATTCAAATTTCTTTGTGTATGCATGTAAAAATACTTTCCTTATAAACCAAAGTTAATTATAACATTAGTTATAAATATCACACCAGACCAACTGAAGACAATTTTTTTCCATAAGATGTGCAGGTTATATTTGACACAGCAAGCAATATTAAAAATAAGATTCTATGTCTAGATTTTATTATAGAAGAAACAGAAAAAATGAACTGTTTAGCTGAGCTTACAAAGTTTTACCTCATCTCTATATATGTGCTTTCTTGAGGTACTTCTAATTTTGTTACGTTCAATGTCTTTCCTGGAATCTCTTTCATTTCCTTTTTTGCGTTTTTTCCTCAAAGTATAACTCCTTTGAACATCTTCATCCTTTTTCTTAATTTCCTTCTATAAGTATGTAGACCACAATTAAATCTCAATATGAATGATATGTATTACAAAATCCAAACAAACTCAAGAGTCTGACTTCTTTTTGCTTTAAAATTTTTTTAACATTTATTCATTTTTTGAGAGACAGAAAGAGAGCGCAAGCAGGGGAGGGGCAGAGAGTGGAAGACACAGAATCCAAGCAGACTCCAGGCTCTGAGTTGTCAGCACAGAGCCCGGGGGTGGGACTCAAACTCACGAACTGGCAGATCATGACCTGAGCCGAAGTCGGATGCTTAACCGACTGAGCCACCCACGGGCCCCTCAAGAGTCTGACTTCTAACACAAGTATACCCTGTTAAAAACATAATAGTTTTATACAAGAGGAAATCTCATCCATTGTTAAAGTGGGTATACATTAGTAAAACATTTTAGAAAACAGTTGGGCATTACCTACTACAGTTAAATATGCAGTCCTTACCACACAGCAAATCCACTCCATGGAATATATCCTAAACTAGAGAAACTCCTGACCACGTGTGCCAAGAGTCATGTAAGAAAATGTTCACACTGTTCATGGCACAACCATTCATAACTGCAAATACAAACCAATCAAACACACACCAAGAAAATGAAACCCAAAAATTTACTTATATGAATGAATAAAATGGATAAAAGATAAAGTTGTGAGGGGTGCCTGGGTGGGTCAGCTGGTTGAGCGTCTGACTCTTTCATATTGGTTCAGGTTGTGATCTCACAGTGGTGGGATTGAGCCCCACATTGGGCTTCGGGCTCCTCAATGAGTATGGAGCCTCCTTGGGATTCTCTCTCTCCGTCTCTTTCTGCCCCTTCCCCACTTGCATGTGCTTTCTCTCAAAAACAAACAATAAAAAAAATTCTTAAAAAAAAAAAAAAGAGTTGTGAATCAATTAAACATTATATGCACCACAAAAAAAAAGTCACAGAAGGCTATCAATACCATAAATTATAAATACACAGCTGGCAAAAGTGTAATGAAAAACAAGAAAATAACACAAATGCCAAGATAGAGGTCATCTGTGGGTATGAGGGAGAAAAAGAGGACACAGTTTAGAAATGACACACAGCAGGATCTTACAAAACTGGTAATGCTCTTATTTCTTAACCTAGCTGATGCATAGATAGCAGTCACTTTTGCAAACTTTTAGAATTGTATACAAATGCCTTATAAACATTTTAATAATGTAATTACGAAGAAGCAATTTTATGAATATCATTACATTTGGTAAATTTAGAAAAGAGTTGTAAAATATAAATTATTTTTCATTTAGAAGATCTTACCTGACTTCCATACGTGCACCTTCCTAAGGCATCTCTCATTTTAACAAATTTCAAATCTTTATTGGAATCTCTGAATTTTTCTTTTTTGTGATGGCCAGTCAAAAGAGAACTAACATTAACATCTTCATCATGATTTTGCTTTTCTTTCTATGTGCATGTAAGAATACTTTAGTTAGACTGCGGATGCAATATAGCCTCAACCAATGCAAGTCACAATAGAAACACCTACTCAGGAAGGCAGGTTTTCTGTAACATACATATGAGATTAACTATGGCAAAGAGCCTTGTGAATTGTATTACGTCTTAGTTATATTTGGATGAAGCAGAGAAATACACATTTTTAGTTCAGAAAGGTTTATACTGTGTTGACATATACATTTCATATAGGTACTTTTATTAACTTAGTCTTTCTTGGAATCTTTCTTCCCCTCTCCCCACCATTTATCATGTGACCAGTCAAAACACTATTAGGTTATTTATCTCCATTATTTTATTTTTCCAAATATTTGTAAAAATAATTTTAGACTAGAGATCAAATAGAAACTTGCCATTATTAGGCATATCAAATCAAAACACCTCAAAAAAATCTTTTTATAGAACATAGGTTTAATAATAAACAGAGTAAGAAGTATTAAAACCATATTGCTTATATTCATTTTACAAAGTTATACATGCATTCTAAATTATATATATTCATTATATTAGTTACAGGCATATAAGGATTCAACAATTCTATACATTACGCAGTGCTCATCATGGTAAGTGTACTCTTTAACAAAGTTCACCTATTTCACCCATCCTGTCACCCACCTCCCCTCTGATAATCACCAGTTCTCTATATTTAAGAGTCTGCTTTTTGTACAAAGAAACTTATTTTTAAAAATAGAAATTTCTACCTGAATTTTAAATCCAATATAAATTGATGTCTTTTTCTTAATTTCCCTATCTTTCACAAAATCTCCATTTGATTTTTTCCATGTTAAATAAAAACTAAGTTTATTTTAGTAAGTCCATTTTATTTTATTTATTTTTTTTTAATTTTTTTTTTAACGTTTATTCATTTTTGAGACAGAGCATGAATGGGGGAGGGGCAGAGAGAGAGGGAGACACAGAATGGGAAGCAGGCTCCAGGCTCTGAGCCATCAGCCCAGAGCCCGACGTGGGGCCCGAACTCATGGACCGCGAGATCGTGACCTGAGCTGACGTCGAACGCTTAACCGACTGAGCCACCCAGGCGCCCCAGTAACTCCATTTTAAATTCCTTTCTATATGTCAAAATTTTTATACGGTGGTTTATAATGCATTTTTCATAGACTGACTCAAAAAGCCTCCTATTAAGACCATGTACATGTAGTCATAGAAAGCAGCCTTATAAATCACATAAATATCAATTATACTTTGGAAAAGCCAGAAAAAATTGCATTAATATTTTAATCTGTTGTAAAGTTTTATCTAATCTCTCCATATATAATTTAAGGCACTGTTCATTTTATGAAGTTCCAAATACTACTTCAAATGCTCTTTGTAAAATTTCTGATGCAGTAAAAGATGCAGTGAAAACAAAATTTTTAATTTCTTTCTCGTCACATTTAAAAACAGTTTAGGTTAAGTAATAATAATTACTAGGTATAGAACTTGGTACATCAACTAAAGAGTCTGTTTTATAAAACACAGTATGAAACTGAGCATACTTAAACATTAGCTATTCTAGGATAAAACTAATAATGCCTTTTTTTGGTTGCTGCTATTTGAAAAATATTACATGAGAGCCACATACATGCTTCCTTAAGGTACATTTCATTGCTCCAAGTTCAAAGTACTTCCTGTTTGTTTTCCTTAATCAAAACAGAATTCATTTGTATCATTAAAAAAATTTTGTTCTGTATGCAGCAAAATACTAGACTTCAGATCATGAATTATGAATACACATATTGCTGACAGATAAGAGTCCTTTATAAGAAACACATCCATATTAAAAATACAGGGGAATTTTAAGTAATTCTCATGTGCTGAGAACATACTACATACTAGGAACTGTGTGTTTCTATATGCATATATGCATTATTTCAATAAGAGTCTGAAGAGACAAAGGGCAGTATCTTGGTAAGCTCAAATCACACACAATAAAACATAGAGCTGGGTTCAAATACTAGCTCTGATTCCAAAATTTGTGTTATTTCTACATTGCTATATTGCATCTCAAACAATTACATAAGAACCAGAAATATACATTTTTGGCCCATAAAGTTTTACCTGGGTTCTATGCATGGTCTCTTTTAAGGCACCTTTCATTTCAAGAAATCCCCTATCCTTCCAGAAATCTTTGTTTTTTTCCTGATTGCTATGTTTATTCCAAACAGAATTGGTCTGGGAATCTTCATCATTCTGAATTTCTCTCTGTACGTATATATAAATGGTTCAGACAATCAGTTAAGTATAATTTCAACATTATGTACTTTTTTATGTTAACCAAATGTATCTATAATTGCAAAATCCTTTAGTTGATAAGTAAAATGCATTCTCCTATATCAGAAGTTATTACCAATAAATTCTTTCCAGAAAAAAACAAACTTCAAAACAAAGGTCCTAATAAAGTGATTTCTATGTATCTCCAAAAAATGTAATGCTTTGTTGGTCTAGCAACAATTAATCCTTTTTATGAATAATCATGAACAGAAATATTTTATCTCATTCCTGACCAAGTTAAAGGTATAATATAGATAGAAAAGTTTCAGATTATAGATTACATGCCAGATAATTTTTCAGCTTTTTACTGGTAAGACTTCTCATCGGAAAGTCTACTACATACAAAGAGGAAAAGAGGCTTAATAGATGAATTCACAGCTACTATTTTACTTGAACAGAGATAAACAATCATTTTTACCTAACTCTATCTCAAATATTTAAAATTTCTTGCCAAGAAATCCAAACTGAATTCATAAACCACCTACCAATAATGTTAAAGACATTTGCATATGTACCTATACATAGAATTCTAAAAGTTTAGTGGGGTAAAGAGAAGGAAGCAAAGATGAGTTCCTAACAGATCCCACAATGCCCTTACAGAAGAGTATTCAGAGATTAACTACCTTTACACTGAGACTAAAGAATCACTGTCCTCTTAAAAAACAATTATGATAGAAATTGAAATGGGTAAGGCCTATGGTATCATCTTCGGTTCCCTTTCACTTGTACTGGGATTCCTGTGTACACAGACGGTCCTTTAAGCAGGCTGCAATCTTCCAATCAGAGAAGAATTCCTGGGAGTACCTGACGGACATCTTTCAGTTATTCAGGAAGGTAAAAACGAAAACTATGAAAAAGGAATACCTTTCTTCCTTCCTATTCCTGGCATGAAAGAAAGAAGTACTCTGAATGTACAAGCACACCTTGAAGTGGGATGAAAGTAAATATCTGGCTTTAAATTTTACCTGGTTGACAATGGGAGGATAAATCCTCAAGCCCAGATCATCAAAAAATGTCTAAAATACAGAATGAATTAATCCCACATGGATTCCAGTAAAACAGAATACTCAACATTCCATTATCATTAACAACTAGCAAGAACATACTGTTTTCTAATCCTGAATATATTTACTTATGTATCTGTTTCAGATGTTATACACTGATCTGTGAATTAAGATTTATAATGCAGGTACTCTACATAAATTAAACAATTAAAAATCATAACCTGATAAACCACGGCATATACAAGATTTTTAAAATCATCTATATTTTTATAGAGCTAAACAAATGATCAACGTATAATTTTCTCCAAACCACCAATACTCTAACTGGCTACTTTAATGAAATATATAGGAATTATTTTATTTATCTGTACATATTCATTTCTTAATTCTTTTTATCAATATTCCTTTAGTGCCAACTATGTACCAGGCATTGTGTTAAGTGTTTGTCTCCTATATGACCTAGGCAAAAAGGGTTATATCTAGTCTCTTTTATATACTATAATGCTATGTTCCAGATAGATGACCCAAAGCCTACTTATTCAGTAAATTATTCTATTATCTAGGAGGAGAGCAGCATAGTGTGCACTAACAGTTGGCCTGACTTCTGATTCAGTATTTGATGGGGTGTACTGTTTGGCACTTAGGTATGGATACACTCTGGTCTTCAAGTCTTATTATTTGATTCAGCCATGGCATTTACCACACAACGTGAATGACTTCATGAGAAGACATGAAGAATCAGAGAGGTCAAGTAGAGAAAGAGTGCTCTACATGGTTCTTAACTATTATTTATACTCTGATTCTTAAATGATGTCTCAAGATCTTATGATTGACTACTGGTTCTAGTACTGTTTACAGAATTAAGTATTTTTAATACCCAGAAAGAGACCAGGTGAATATCAAGGAAATCTATTAATACCCAAAATGAGTAAAGGAAAGGGAGTTCAAGAAAAGTCTTTTTACTGAGTGCTTGACTCTAAATTTTTGGTCTGACACATGCCAGTTGTAGGAGCATGGAAAAATAATTTAACATGACTCTACCTCATTTCACCAACTATAAAATAAGGCTATAATACATAGACACAGGAACATGAGGTTTAAAATAAGATAAGGGTATACAGGGGTGCCTGGCTGGCTCAGTCAGAAGGGCATTTGACTCTTGATACTGGGATCATGAGTTAGAGCCCATGATGTATGGAGACTACAGGAAGGAAAGAAGGGAGGGAAGGAAGAATGAATAATGCTTAGCACAGAGCCTGGCACGTAATAATCATTCAATAAATATTAGTCCAGAGTAACATTTTTAATAGTTTTCACAACAACCAAAAGGAGAAAGTATGAACTTTGATGCACAAAAAAAGAAATTCAGTCTCAGGTTAAAGTACTTTCCTACCGTCAGAAAACTAATAAACTATACATCTGGGTCACAAATTAGTTGATCTGCCACAAAAAGTGTATGTTTTTTCTATTGTTCCTGTTATATTTCTCTAAGACTTTGTGTGGTTCACTTTTTACTTTCTTTCTTAGGCTGATAGTCAAAAGAAGTTTTAAGTATTCCTAAATATCTTCTCTTTTTTCGTGAGGCCTTCTTTGGGCCAAACAATTGAGATACGTTAGTCACCTGTTTCTCTAAATACCTATCCCTTGTACTTAAATTTGCCAACGTACAATACACACTATACACTAAATGTAATTAACAGTTTCCATGTACTGTTTTCACCACTAACTAAATAGTAAGCACCTTGAAGTCTGGCACGTGGTCTTATTTATTTTCCCTACTCCTCAGCACAGTGCCTGGTACATCAAAATTCTTCAATAAGGATCTGTAAGCCTGAACTAAATAAACAGATCCCTGATTCTGTTACTCAGGAGCTTTCCAAATAAGTATAAGTAGGTTAAACAAAACATTTTTTTTTTTTTTAAATCAATTGGTTGTAACTTTCAACTCATTTTACATGGCAACTCTCAGAGGACACTTCAGAATCCAACTAATGAGGAATGTGATATGCTATATGACAAAGTGGTAGAAGAAGATACTACAATGAAGGTAACTATTTTCTGATCATAAGTGATCACAAAATGCCTTCCTTATTTGGAATATATGGCTATGAACTCCCAGCTGCCTAATCTAGAACTTATAAAACAATATATTCTAAAAATAAATCTATGTTATAGATTATTTGCTACTTTTACTTGGTATACTATTGCTGCCTTGTAATATTTCAACAACTGAATCTGAATGCTGTCATATTACTGCAGTAAAATAAGACTAAGACTATGGATAAAGCATATTAAATTTTACACTTTATTCATTTCTTTCCATAGAAAAAAATTTATATACTTTTACCAAACTAGTTAAGAATGGCTTTCACTCTATTAACAGTAAAGGCTATCATTAAACTATTCAGATAGGTAGATCAGATAGGACGCTTTTGGCTGCAAGTAATAGAAAACCAATTCAAAGTAATATAAATAACACGGTCGTGTTTTACAGCACAGAATGGTAATGTGGTCCAGGGCCAAGACAGGTTTTAGTGTTGACTGATCTAGTAACTCAAGTATCTCTGTAAGGATCCACATTGTTTGTATACTTTGCTATCTACAAGGCTGGTTTATTCCTAAGGTTACCTCTCCTCATGGTCAAAAATTGGCTGCTAATAATAATTTAGGTTACATTATTCCATGTTCACATTTAGCAGGAGCCAGGATGCCAGTGGTGGTCTTTTCAGAAGAATGAAGAAACTTCCCAGAAACTCTTACATACCACTCTTCATGTCTCATGGATCAAAACTGGCTCACATGCCCATTCCAAGAACCATCATTATCAAGGACAATGAGATCATCCATAGTGCAAGCAGATCCATCCCTTGAACTAAGGTCAAATTTCCAATCTACATTGCTGCTACTCAGTAGGGAAAGGTAATTCTAGAGTAATATATTACATCTACTCTTGGAAGACTCAGAGATATTTCATAATTTCTCTGTTTACCTAATAAAACTGAGAACCCATGTGCCAAGCTTTATACAAGATGACTTGGATATAATCATGGAAAAGTCAGACATCATCTTGATGACATGGTTCTTCTGGTTTAGATGGGGAAAACAGACATTAACCAAGTAATCAGCCAGCTGATTAATTACAAATGTGGTAAGAACTATAAAGCAAAATAATGCTATGAGAACAATTATAGGTGAACCTATTTTAGCAAAGGGTAAGAGAGGCTTCCTTGAAGAGGCATCATTCTAACTGCAACTTGAATGATGAATGGACAGAAGGCACGCAGGCACAGGGAGTGAGAGAATACCGGGGAAGGCTTTTTCAGGCAGAAGGAAGTTTTGTTATTGATAGCTGAGTGCAGAAAAGTAGAGCAGGATATGCCTTAAAGGCAGGACTGACAAGGATTCTGTGGGGAACTTTTAAGCCATTGTTACAAGTTTAGGACTTTATCCTAAAGGCAATGGAAAGCCACTGGAGGGTTAAACAGGACAGTGACAGAATTAGAGTTGTTTTAGAGCATTTTGGCTGCTCCTTCTGAAGGAAGAAGAATGGACTAGGAAAAGGTTAAGAGTAATCAGTAGATTAGCAAGAGTTAAAAGGTAGAGTAAAAAGATGAATAATTAAGAGTCTATTCCAGGAGGGCAGGGGAAAGAGGATGAACTCAATATGATGTTAATATAGGAAGAAAAAAGCACAGTGATTCAAGTGGTATTTAAGATAATAAAATCAATAGGATTTGGTGATTGACAAGATGTGGGGAATCAGGGAAAGGAAGGTTTCAAGGGTGATTCCCAGGTCTCTAATATAAATTATTAGGTAAAAGGTTATAGCATTTATTGAGATGTTAACATGCAAGGAGCCAGTTTTTCCTAGAAGATCAAAGTGTAGTTTTTAGACACACTGAGGTTTCTCTTTTACCTTGAGTGACCCTTCTTAAAAACTCTTATCTCCAGACAATTCCTTCTAGGACTGTTCCAATTCAAACAACTTAAGAAGTGGTATTTGCACAAAGTGGGAAGAGGGAGGCAGAGGAATAGGACAGAACAGTATTTCTAAATCCTTAGAAATAGCTTCCTCCTTTCCCATGGGAAAATTACAAATTCTTACGTAATACTACATGATACTGCTATTTTATTTATACTGACATTAAAATGCTAAAATTGTTTTGTAGTAAACATCACTAGAGCACTGAAAGTTAAAAGACTCAATAACACAAATTTAAATTTAACAAGCAAGGTTCTTTCACATTTATCAGAAATATTCTCAAATATTTAAAAAACTGAGAGCTATAGCCTTTAAGAATATGTCATTTTAATTATAGCCGACCCTTGAACAATGTGGAGATTAGGGGCAAGAACACCTCCTGCCAAAGTTCAAACTCCACATATAACTTTCAGCCCCCCAAAGACTTAATAGCTTCTGTTGACCAGACACTGTACCAATATGTAGCTAAGTAACATATTATTTTATATTTTGTATGTATTATGTACTATATTCTTGTAACAAAGCTAAAGAAAAAAAATGTTAAAATCATAAATAAAATACACTTATAGTACTCAACTTACTGAAAAATCTGTTTATAAAGTGGATCTGTGCAGTTCAAGGGTCAAACGTATTTCTAATCATTGTATTTTTAAAATTCAGAACATAATTTTTAACATATTTCACAATATCAATATTTTATAAAATAAACACTCAAAAATGTTTACCATTTATTTTGCTTACCTCTAAAAGAAAATCCCCTAGATACTGAATTGGATAAAATGGAGCTTTAAAGTTGTCTTTTTCTTGCTCAGCCTTGATTCTTGCATTACTGGCAATCACGTGAGTTATTTCACTTGGTGAGCTTTTTGGTAAAATAACATTTGCTTTTCCAGCCTCCAGAACTCTAAATAAAAATGTAAATAGTATAGAAAGTATTTTTTTAAAGTATATTCAGTCACATCATCTAAATCAATTACTTCCTTAGAGTAGGAGTAGAACTTTCTGAAAGAATTAAGTGCCCCTGGGCTATGTGAGTGTCATGGAGAATAAGTACTATAGTGATTTCTTAAATTATAAGTTGTTCAAAGATGTTGAAGAAATCATGATATTCTTTTTGCTTATCCATTTCTTGATATGGGAAATATTTTTAAGAATCAAGAATACTGACTTTATTCCCTAAGGAAAAGTCACCTCCTTAAGTCCAAAGAATAATGAAAGAAGTTTAGGGATGTAGCTACCTCAGAAGGCAACATACCTCCAAGGAAATCATTCTAAACCACTAAAAAGGAACTACAGTTGCCAGCATTCTTTTAAAAAATTAGATTTTGATTAACTTTTAACATCCCCAAAGTTTCATGAAAGTTCTACTTGTGCCCAGGATATAGAAAGCCACAAGAGAACACTGTTATTACCTAACAATAAGAAAAAGCCAAATAATCTACAGAACTTTTAACCTTTCACGAACCTATCAGAGAACTGAGGTAACAAGCCAACCAAGAAACTTAAATTTCCTTAAGAGTGATAATAATAAGCCCCTTTGTGAAGAGAATGGACAGTCAAAACTATTTCATTTTACCAGGGTGCTAGAGAGAAGTAGCTGTCATAAAAGTAGTAAGAATCAGATAAAATTCTAACAAATTTAAGAGTCAAGTGCAAGTACCATGACAACTTATAATATTTGGGAGTAAGTGACTCAAGCAAAGTGTGCAGTCAGTTGCAAGCTCTTTGCCATAGGCCTCTATTAAGCATTTATGAAAAAGAATTAGGGCAGATACCAATGGGAGTCCCTACTCGTAGCACAGGTGGCTCAGTGGGGATTGGCTGCCATCAAGAGATAGACCTAAAACTAGGTCCACTTCCCTGGATTCTTCTCTCATATGAGGTAACATCTTAAGTCATGTGGTAAAGGTAAGAAGTCTTATACTTTCAGAACCCAGGAAAAGATGCACAGCTTCTGTTGGGAGAGTGTAAGTAAAACCCATGCGCCTTTCGGAAAGGAACAGGAAAATCTCCTGCTGCACAACCCAAAAAATAATTCACTATTTCTAGATAAGAAACAGAAACAAAAGCCATTTGTCCCTGCAGAAGGGACAGAAAAAATGCCAGCCAAACCTAGGTTCCTGCATCAATAGAAAGCAAAGATCTAATACTGGGACATAGGCTAGAAATTCTGTTGTCAAAACCCTAACAACACATACAAGGCAGAATTTCTCTGCCATGAGGGACTGAGACACAAATATTAACAAAGTCCCAACCTCAGAGACCAAGAACACAAAGAATGCTTAAAACTGAAGCATATCCAGGGGTGCCTGGGTGGCTCAGTCGATTAAGTGTCTGACTCTTGATTTCAGCTCAGATCTTGATCTTGGCGTCATGAGTTCAAGCCCCACATTGGGCTCCAAGCTGGGCATGGAGCCTACTTTAAAAAAAAAAAAAGAAAAAGAAAAAGACTGAAGTCTTTCTAGCAGAACCAAAAACACATCCACTCTTACCCCCAACCAGCTAGATATTAGTAACAAGCAAGACAGGGAGACAATGATGACAGAGTCCTTCTGTGACCTAGCAATGCAGGGACTATTGAAAGCTGAAAGTGAGAAACATTGATTAAAACCCCTCCAGCAACCCAGGTCCCATGCCAAGGACAAAGAAACTGTATTCCATCTACTGCTGGAGTAATCAGAAAGGATGCATTGAAGTAACTATAGCATTAACAAAACCCAGTGCCTGCTCAACGACTGACAAGATTAACTACCCATACTAACTACTTTACAGAAAATGGAAGCCCATTGTTGGATAGAAGTATTTACCTCAGCCCCTATTGTACTGTGATATCTAAACATGCAATAAAAAAGACATACACAAAAAGCAAGAAAAACAAACCACTGTCAAGAGACAAAGCAATATAAAGCATAGAGAGATGATTCACTTGTTGAAATTACCAGAAAGTGACTTTAAAATAACTATGACTGTGGGGCGCCTGGGTGGCTCAGTGGGTTAATAAGCCTCTGACTTCGGTTCAGGTCATGATCTCACGGTTCATGAGTTGGAGCCCCACGTCCGGCTCTGTGCTGACAGCTTGGAGCCTGGAGCCTGCTTCAGATTCTGTGTTTCCCTCTCTCTCTGTGCCTCCTATGCTCACGTTCTACGTCTCTCTCTCAAAAATAAATAAAAATTAAAAAAAAAAAAAAACACTAAAATAACTATGACTGAAATGTTATACAATGGATAAAGTGATCAAATTGCATTAAGAGATTAGGAACTGTGCATAGGGTACATTAAAAATGGTAGAGGGGAACCTGGGTGGCTCAGTTGGTTAAGCGACTGACTCTTGATGTCAGCTCAGGTCATGATCTCACGGTTTCTGAGATCCAGCCCAGGACCAGGCTCTGTGCTGACAGTGCGGGGCTTGCTTGGGCTTCTCTCTCTTCCTCTCTCTCTGCCCCTCCCCTATTCTCTCTCTCTCAAAATAAATAAACAAACAAACAAACAAACAAAGAAAACAAAATAGTTTAAAAATGATCCATGATCCCAAGATCATGGAATCAAGGTTTGCCTCGATATCTGCACTGGGTGTGAAGCCTGTTTAGGATTCTCCCTCCTGCTCCTTCTGGCAGTTCCCCACTTGTGCAGGTGTATGCACATGCTCTCTCTCAAAAAAAAAAAAAAAAAAAAAAAAAAAAAAAAAACTGATAGAAATAAAAGTTACTGTCAAAACAATAATCTTTTTGACAGGCTAATGAATAGATTGCAAACAAATGAAAAGGTAATGAACTTGATGATAGGTCAATAGAAATTATCCAACTGAAAACACAAAAATGGGAAAAAAAGTTAAAAACAAAACAGAACATGCATAAACTGTGGAAATGAATTAAATGGTCTTAAACAAAGGTTAACAGAGTGCAAGAAAAAGAACCCAACAGAAGAACTTAAAACTTGGTGGCTGAGAATTTTCCATAGTTAATAAAAGATAAAAAAAAACTACATGTCCAAGAAGCTCAGAGAACCCCATGCAAATGACATAAATAATTAGAAAATAATACACACACACCCACACAAAAATTGCCAAAAAAAAAGTAATATATTTTTAAATTTTAATTTCCAATTGTTCATCACTAGAATATAAAAACACCATTAATTTTGTACAGTGACTTATTATCCCGTCATCTTGCTGAATTCACTAATTAGTTCTAACAGCTTTTCTGGGTAAATTATTTATTATATGACCATACCTTTTAGAAATAACAACATTTTTATTTCTTTATATCTGACTCCATTCCTCTTACTCTCTTTGTCTTACTATATTGCCTAGTACCTGTAGCAAAATGCTGAAAAGAAATGGTCAGAGTGAGCATCCATTTCTTCATTCCTATTTAGGGAGGGAAAAAAATCCATGATATGTAGTTTATATATTTTTACAGTTGTCAGTTTTGCACATTGAAGACACAAAATTTTTAAAATATCTGAAGAATCTGCAATTATTAAAAATGGATACTACACTATGATGAAGTACAGTTTATCTCAGGAATACAAATTTGGTTTAACATTTAAATTGGTCAGGGGAGGAGTTAAGATGGTGGTGTACTAGGCAGACCCTGGAAGTCTCGTCCCCGGAACACAGCTACATCAACATCACATCATTTTGAACACCTAGGAAATCAATCTGCGGATTAAGTGAAGATTCTATATAACATCAAGGAGAGAATGTGGCAGGTATGCGGTGCGGAGAGGGGAACGGGGAGAGAGAAAAGCCACAATGCTGCAGGAGGTGGGAGGCCTTTTCACAGAGAGGAGAGAGAGTAGGTTGTTGGGTTTGCGCAAGAAAAGCACTCCTCCAAAACCACTGATGGGGGAATCAAGAGGAACTGACTATCCCAAGTTTCTGCAATAGTGGAGCTGAAATTCTGAATTTCTGGAAGTTTGTGCCATTCGCTGGAGTAGATCTGGGTGGGCAGCAGTGCTTCTGGGGAGAAAGACGGGAAGACTGGGAATGGTCAGCATGATGGGGGGATCCCCTGGGTCACAATGGGAGAGAAAGTTCCCCTACCTGGAGTACATTTGGAAGACTGTATATTGCCTCTACAAGGACAAAAGACCTGGCTGGCACCTTTAAGCAACCTTCCTATGACAGAGACAGAAGTGTGTACAGAAGGTGGTTAAAGTGCTCACAGCTTTTTGCTGTGCTTCTCTCTAACCTCCATGGGACTGCCCAGCCAAGGGACTACTTTCTGCAACAGAATGGCACCAGGCACATCACCGCAAGGAGGAGCAAGTCCACGCCCTGTTGCGTCCTTTAAGATTTGGAGTTTTGGGGTGCCCAGGTGGCTCAGTTAAGCATCCGACTTCGTCTCAGATCGTGATCTCGCAGTCCGTGAGTTTAAGCCCCGTGTTGGGCTCTGTGCTGACAGCTCAGAGTCTGGATCCTGCTCCAGACTCTGTGACTCCCCCTCTCTCTCTGCCCCTTCTGAGCTCATGCTCTGTCTCTCTTTCTCAAAAATAAATAAATATTTAAAAATTTGTTTAATTAAAAAAAGTAAGAAGATTTGCAATTTTGAATCTCAGTTCTGTGCCAAAGATGAAACATAGGAGAGCTAGATGCTGGGCATGTCCACGGCCCAGGCATAGAAGGGTTGAGGGCAGGGATCTGATGGAAGCCTGGGACACAGAAGAGGAGAATGTACACTTGTGAGGGCTTCCTGAACAGCAGCAGGTGCAAGCTTTCCTTCCCAGGGACCAGAGAGCAGGTGAAGCCATCTTTTCCCACCCACCAGCATGGTCAGACTTCAGCAAGCAACATAGTGCTGCCAGTAGAGGCTGGAGCCACATACATCAAAACTCACTTTTCTGTGCCCTATAGGGAAATCTTTACAGGAGCCGGTCTGATTGTTAGACAGCGCAGCTGGCCTC